ACGACAGATGGCCATCCCGAACCCCGTTCACTTTCTGGTAGTGTTCTCCTAGCCGTACATTTAAACATTTGTCTGTCTGGCCGACATATACCTTGTCACATGAAAGCGGGAACCGACACACGATCCTTTCCATGCAGGCGACAAACGGACTCCTGTGTTTGATTGGGCAGCCCGTTGGTACTTTGCAGAATGGATTTGTCAGCTTGCACATTTTCGCGAGCTTCTCGGGTGCAGAGTAAACAACTTTTACGTTTACACGTTTTGCTATTCTTCCAAGAGTGTGCGCTGTTCTTTGCATGTAAGGCACAAGCGCAACTTTCTGTCTCGCTTGACCTGCTTCTGGGCGCGGGCTAACGTCCTTTCTTATTTTCTTAAGGACGCCTTCTGCTACAGATACAATCCCAGCCTTTGGAAACCCGGCACGCTGCAAGCGTTCGTTTTGCTCAAACAGTCTCAAGGACATTGCATGGTGGCAAGACCTTTTGAGGGCGTTCGTAAAAAACAAATTAACTATTCCTCTTTTAACTAATTTCGCGTGGGATGAGTTAAATAAAACAACGTTTTTTGTTTTTTTTTTCATCAAATTTAATTAAAGAGCCTTAGCATAGAAGCACACTGCGTCACCGCACGCCATCTCAACCAATCCGTTGCCCCGGCACCGACCGCTAGTGCGCTAACTCTTTTTCCGCGAAGTCAATTGAAGCCACACCGACACAAAGGTTCGACTCGTGCATAGCTCACATTTTCTGTGATGTAGTTTTAGCGCACTATGACAGAGTGCTTTGCGACCGCCTGAGTGCTTTTAGCGTTACTAAGGTTTTTAAATATGTTGACGAGTTTTTTTTTAATTTTACTTGGCAAAGACACTCCCTCCCTCCCTCGACGGTGGAATGTCTTTTAACCGTTTCTAATGATGCCCTTGACCCCCTTCAGGTCACGCAAGAAGTACCCGTAGAGAGTCGTATTCAATTTTTAGACATTAAACTCACCCTCTCTGAACAGCACATGTGTTGGGCATACCACCCAAGGGCCAACAAGCCGTTGTTACTGTAGTAACCAGCGATAGATGGCGCCACGTCTTCCAGCGGTGCCGCGGTTTGAGCACGAGCGCGGAGCGCGCGATATAAAATATCATTCGTTCGAATCTCCCTGCTGGCTGATGCGTATTGCTTCCTACGTGGTGGCAGCGATTTAAGCCAAATTAGTTCTTAGCGGTTCAAGGAAACGAAACAATGCTGGACAGTAGGCCCGGAGAAGGTGGCGACCGCGAAGAACGCCAAAGTGAGCGAACAGCGACCACCATGGCAAGCCTGCTACCTCCGCCGAAACCGCTAGACATGGCAAGCGAACCCTAGAACGCATGAAAGAAGTGGCTAATGGAATTCGAGCTGTTTGCGGTAGCAACGCACCTGACGGACCAACCTGACAAAGTGCAAGCAGCCACACTTCTCGTCTGCATCGAAGTAGAAGGTAGGCGAATTTACACTACCTTCACATTCAATAACGAGGAAGACAGAGAGAAACTCGAAGTCCTGAAGAATAAGTTCGAGGCGCACATGAAGCCAGCGATCAACCTCACGTACCACAAATTCATCTTTGGGAAAATAGACCAAAAATAGGTAAAAATTTCAAGTCAACGCTCTGGAGCACATATCTATCACGCAAGATCGGCTAAATGAAATAAGAGACGCAACTGCAGCCGATGTCCAGATGCGTCTACTGCGCGAGTATGCACATACGTCATGGCCCGAGCAGAAAGGAGCAAGTTCCTCAACTCGGAAGGCCATTCTGGTCCTACAGAGAGGAGATCCACGGGGAAGACGGCCTTGTGCTGCGGTCAAACAAGATAATAATACTGTAGCGTGAAAATAAATGAGTTGCCGATGGTGGTGGTACGCGGCGGGCCGCTTGCTGTGCTCCCCTTCCCTAAAACCGGTCGTCGTCACAGCGGAGACGGGCTCGACTCGCTCCGGCCTTGGGGGCCCGCCGGTTCCTGAACACGTGCACCGTGCATGCGACGAAGTCCCCCGGGCCGGAGGGAGGAGGGAAGTGGTTTGGCGAGTTTCGCCGCTGGGACGAGGCAGTCGGGACTCGGGAGGCAGGCCGGTAACCGGACCGTCGTTCCGCCAGCGCAAAGTTTTGTATCCCTAACCCCTTGTCACTCTGTGTCCTACACGTACGATCGTTACAATACCAACGGCCAATCAGATTCAAGATTCTCAACTTGCTTCACACGGCACACGCGGTCAAAAACAAAATGAAGAAAAGAGCCCGAGAAATTCTTTTCTGGCCCGGAATCAACGCTGACATTGACCGCGAACGTGACAAATGCAGCAAATGCGAGAAGTACAAATCAAGAAACGTCAAGATGCCACTCCTGTGCCACGCACTGCCAACGCTTCCTTGGCAGTTGGTCAGGACCGATTTCTTCACTCATGAAGGAAAAGACTACGTAGTCCTCGTGGATTTTTACTCATTTTATTTTGAGGTAGAAGAAATGAAAAGCACCACAGCTTCCGAAGTCAAAGAGTTCTGCCTTAAAGTATTCGCAACACATGGACTGCCGTTGAAAATTATAAGCGACAATGGCCCACCATCTGGCAGCCATGAGTTCAAGAAGTTCTTGGAAAACCTCAAGATAGAACAAGTTACATCAAGCCCCTACCACGCTCGATCAAATGGCATGGCTGAACGAGCCGTGAGACAGGCCAAACGACTCTTGCGAAAGAGTGCCAACAGTGAAGTGTTTTACTGCTCGCTCCTTGAGTGGCGCAACACTCTACGAGACGATGTCCTCCAATCGCCAGTACAGAGACTGATGAGCCGGCACACAAGAACACTGTTACCTGCGCGATCGGAACATTACCTGCCCGCTGTTGTGCCACCCAAGGCTGTCACACGTCGTCTCAAAGAAATAAGGCGGTTACAAAAGGCGAACTACGATAGAAGCTCAAGAACGCTGTCAGACATTGACACGGGTTCTACAGTCACCGTCTACAACACCCTGCGGCGCACATGGTCACCTGCCGTAGTCGTAGGACATCCAGCGCCGAGGTCCTACGACATTCCAACCCCAGGGGGTCGGGGCCACCGAAGAACCCGTGAACACTTACGAATGGCGACGGATTCTCGACGAGAGCTGACCTCCACGGGGAAAGAGACGGCCGGCACGGAACAGAGTCCCAGTGACTTTAACCAGAGTCAGCCACACCCGGGACCGTAGCCGCGAAGAGGAACAAGGGAAAAAAGGCAACCGCAGCGATACCCCAACCATGTTGATGGTGACCCTCTGCGCTGACTTTCCCAGAGAAAAGAGATGTAGTATCCAACGATAGATGGCGCCACGTCTTCCAGCGGTACCACGGTTTGAGCACGAGTGTGGAGCGCGCGATATAAAAGATCATTCGTTCGGATCTCCATGCTGGCTGATGCGTATTGCTTCCGACAGTTACTATTGAACTCATCCCACTCGAAATCAGTTAAAAGAGGAATAGTTAATTTGTGTTCTACGAACGCCCTCAAAAGGTCTTGCCACCATGCAATGTCCTTGAGTTTGAGCAAAACGAACACTTGCAGCGTGCCGGGTTTCCAAAGGCTGGGATTATATCTGTAGCAGAAGGCGTCCTTCAGAAAAGAAGAAAGGACGTTAGCCCGCGCCCAGAAGCAAGTCAAGAGAGACAGAAAGTTGCGGTTGTGCCTTACATGCACAGATCAGCGCACAGTCTTGGAAAATAGCAAAACGTGTAAACGTAAAAGTTGTTTACTCTGCACCCGAAAAGGTCGCGAAAATGTGCAATCTGACAAACCCATTCCGTAAGGTACCGACGGGGTGCCCATTCAAGATCAGAAGTTCGTTTGTCGCGTGCACGGTTGTGCGTCGGTTTCCGCTTTCATGTGGCAAGATATATGTCGGCCAGACAGGCAGATGTTTAAATGAACGGCTAAGAGAACACTACCAGAGAGTGAACAGGGTTCAAAATGGCCATCTGTCGGGTCACTGTCGTGACTACGGGTGCAGACCATTATTTGCTTCTTCTACTGTTCTCGCTAGGCACAAAGATAAGACTGTTAGAGAGATTATGGAGGTGGACGGGCGGACGCCATAAATGGTGGTTCGGTGACGCAGTGTGTTTCTATGCTGAGGCTCTTGAATTAAATAAGTGAAAAGTTAGCGCTCTGTGGTGTCTGTTCTTCCTATGTTCCTGTCTTAAAGCGCAATCATGTTTTCTCACATGAAAGTTAGGCGCTCTGTTACAAGGCTACACCGAGTTATGACACTTTCGATATGTATAAAAATGCATAAAAAATAGATATGAGATTATGTGTGGATAAATTCGAAGAAAGGCGTAAATAGGAGACTTCGTGTGTCCTATATCTATTTATAAATAAAATCAAAACGCAACTTGGTCGCATAAGAAATCTATAAACCCAGAACTCATAGAGGCATGTCTCTAAAAAGATCAGAACCTGCGATTTTTGTTTTTTCATTATGGATTACGTTTGCACAGGGAGATATCACATTTTGTCCCAAGTTATTGAAGATGAATGGGCCATTCATTTGCAAGTAGAAAGAATGCGTTGCTCCCACGCAGACAGGACATTTGTACTGCACACATGAGCCAAAGTGCAGCCAGCACCTGCATTATTGCTGCGGCCGTGGAACCGCAGTTTTAAACTTCCAGTTTGAAACGGTATTTTTTAAGCTTCTGCTCCTGTCATTCATGACAAAATTACCATTATATCACCATGTCATTTAATTTACTAATTGTTTTCACTAACGACGTCCCACTAAAGCTACCACATTTCATCGCGTTTGATCGATTAAACGTGCCTGTATTTATTTTTTTGGGGGAAAAGGGGGGGGGGGGGGGGTGGGTCAGCTTCCATCTTAGGCTTTTCGTTTTTTTTCTACTGTTTTGTGCATTTATGTTTGGGGTTTATGGAATTTGGCGAAAACAGGGTACACAAAGTGTAAATCATGAAAGTGAATCAACGACTACTATTTTCTCATAAATTTTATTAGAACTTTTGATGCTGATTCATAGCCGTTGAAGGTATACTTCCTACAGTGCAGAGAGCGTTAAAACTGAGCTTGATTTACCGTGTTTATTTCACTCTCCTCATCTCTGTTTTCAAAAGCAGGAAACTAACCAGAGCCTAAGGCCTGTCAAACGACGCTCAGAAGTTTGGGCAGGAATCCCAGCGGTGATGCGTGGGCCCGAATGTCCACTTGTCCGGATGGCCCTCGTGTAGATCCTGAAAGCCACTTGTACTCCATTGGAAGGGAGGCACGGAACTGTCGTTAGTATATGTGGGGCCGTTTATGGCTATGAACTCGAGCCTTCTAGACATGCCGTAGTTGGTGAGCTGAAATAATAACAGAAATAAAGTCATCAGTGTGGTTGAGCTGTGCGCGGGAGCTTAAGGTTACAAGGGCCGTGCATCATATTCCGAGATACAATGCCTATCAGTTAAAGAGACACTGTAAGGAAAAAAAGTTTTGTTTAAAGCCCATAGATGGGACACGTATTTCTTTAAATAATTTTTCAACGCAAATTTTTTTTTTTTTTTGCGCGATCCTTGCACCGGTAGACGAAAGTTAGGTGCAGAAGGTGGAGGTCGCAGGCCGCTAAACCCCGCCCCGCGCTTACAAGAAGCTTAGATCTCTCATTGGCTGGAGAGATGATTGGCATGCGAAAGGTTGGTTGTAAATGTGTATCCCCGTGCAGTAATAGTATTTTAATCGACTATTTTTTATGTTTTAAAAGAAAATAATCAAGATAGAGTAATTATTGTTTTTAAATGTATTCTGAGATGAGTTAGAAATGTTAACAATCATGGCTGCCGCGTCTGCGGAGTGCGGAATGAGCGAAGCTGGTTGAGTTCGTCAATTTTGATGAGTGCGAGTGGTTTTCAATTAACATAGGTGTTTAGAGGAAGATCTCCTCAATTCACGTAATTTGCAACAAACAACTGCCGCAAGTACGCGCCTTCGAAGCACTATGCGAATGCTTGTTCTCGTAGCCGCGCTGACCCAAGCCTAGCATCCCAGATAAAACTATTCTAACCGGCTTGATTCTTTTCTTTGCGTGTGTTTGTACTGAATAAAGACGTTGATACCCGGAAAAGTGCCCCGCTGCCTTCTAATTTGTGCAAACGTCGTGATTGCGACCATGGTTTCAATACCAAAAAGACAGGTAAGAATTTGCGAGCCATTTGGTTAAAGGCAATCGGTCGTTCAGCTCGCATCAAGTTTGTCGAGTTATGTTTCAGTCATTATGCCCCGAAATGCAAGCTTTTAAGTTTTGCAGTGCACGTGGCCTACCATAGCGGAGATTTTTACGTCGCGTTTTATTTGTGCGTCATGACGCTCACCCAACTTGCTTGCGTATGCCACGTGAAAAAAAAAAATTGGAACAGTAAAGCTAGAAAGACTGCATATTTATTCTGTTGATTTTTTTAGTTCTCGCAGTCGCTTAGTACGTTCATCCATAGACGCCGCCTGGGGCTTGTATTGGACCGTGGCTTGTTCATAATGAAACACTCGAACGCCGCTTTCATGGGCACGTCTTCTGAGCGCTGCTGAAGTTTTTAGACGGGGCGGAAAAGCAGATGGACATCGACATGCAGCTTTTGTGTCCTCGTCTCACGGCATTGCAGATGACGGTAGACGGTGGTGAAATAGCAGACGATGCCGGAGGCTGCCACTCATCTGTTCTCACGACTCAGAACGGGCTGAGACAAGATTGGCTTTTAAGCCTCTTGAGACGACTTAGGACCAACTCGGCAGCAGCGAATCCGGTCCTAAGTCGCCGCAAGGGGCTTAACAGCCGCTCTTGTCTCAGCCGGTCGTACTCGGTGGCAAGTGTGTGAACGGGTCTTTAGACTTCCAGACTAGACGCACCGGACGACGTAAAAGGGAGACACTAGGCTTGTTGCCCTGTTGGGTCGAGCAGCCAAGCCAGCACAGTAGTAACAAGCGGGCCACAGATCTGTGGGCGGGACTTAGAGCGGGCTGTTGCCTCCCCTTTAATCGCGTCTAACGGCATAAATATTAGACGAAAAAAAGTTTTTCGTGGAAAATTTATTTTAAAAAATCCGTGCCCCACTTATGTCGTTTAAAAAAAATATATATATATTTTTTCCTTGCCGGGTCTTTTTAAGATAGGTGAACTCTGGGCGCGACCTTAGTGACGGAACTATAGACGCTGACTGCCTAAGACATGCAAAGCGTGGCAAGTTTGGATCATTTAATTATCACCCTTCAGCCAATGGGATCGCAGACTTAGCCGATAAGAATTCCGAAGGTGAAATAACGAAGCAGAACCACGAATATAATAAACCTGCGTATCTTAAGCCGTCCGGAATAACGCGGTTCTTCGGATAATTTGATCATTCTCGAACGTACTATGTTCAAACTCACACCAATTCCCATCGCAACCGACCTTAAAGTCCGATGGAGCCAATCAAATTGCAGTAAAAGTGCATGCTCATGGCACTGGTCGTATTTGTGCGTTTCCTATCACCGTCTAAACAAATCACGCACACAGAAGGCATACTGACGGCCTAGCGATAGGCCTAACATCAGGCCAGCGCATACCTGCGTCCCCCCCCCCCCTCCCAATGCGCCGCCAGCATTTCGGCTGGCTCCTTAGCAACGATGACGCCGTTGCTATAGAGCCACGCGACGCGTCGCAGCCAATGGGAATTCAGGTGTCGTTTCGCTGCTACAGACAACGCCGGGCTTCGCTCCAAGGGACCAGTGAATGCTTTCGCATTAAAAGAAAGAAAAACAACGAGCGCCTCGACGACACACTTTTACAGCTGCTCAAGTGACCCCATCAGATCGTGGAGTCGGCTGCGCTCGGACGAACTGTGCAACATATCAGATGTGTGTATCACCGCCTGCTCGAAGCCAAAACGTCTGCAGTGGTTATTGTTGCTTGCATATCAAGACGCCGGGGGCATAGTTTAGTGTGGTCAATGTTTTCACTTCGTGAATTTTTCTTCGATGTTGCTATCGGATAATGCCGCAATCTGGTCGGCTGTAGGGCAATAATACGTTGCTCGGGAGTCATCACGTTCTGCGTGTCTTAGCATGTCAGTTACTATAATAGTTTTCTTGGACGCACGTCAGTGTCGTATTATATGCATTAGCAACATCGTTACTATTTCCGTCTTTTGATATCCTGGGGTTGCTGGAAAGCCATGGCGTAGTTCATGAAGAGGCCCAGGTGCTCTGCTCGGTTTAAGTAGTTTCCCTAAATGCCTCGTAACATAATAAAGATTTCTAGATCGTCGCATTGACTCGTCCGAAAGGTAAAATTCAGATTTTGTATACAGAAATGTTGACCGTATAGCCTCAGAGAAATGACCGTTTCAGTCACGTCTGCTAGAAAATCTCTGAGATATCATTAGGACCCCATAAAACCTTATACATAATGAAATTGGCATCCAAAATTTCAGTTGGGCAGCATAATAAAAGCTGTTTTCGTTGTGGTCCACAAAATGCTCGCGTGCCGAAGCAAAGGATCGTATACATGTTGCACCATGTTTCGATTTAATTTCTTCGTAATTTATCCAGTTAATTGTAATGTTAGTAAAATATATAGCTGGGATTATCTGCCTGATAAAAAACTCAGAAGAGAGAGCGCGTTATCACCTGCTGAACTCTATATAAAAAAAGGCATCAACAAATGTGTACGAATATTCGGGGTCTCTATACAAGTGGAAAGGTTTACTGCTGCAGGTCGCCCGCAGAATATCAGACAAAACGTCGCACCTAAAATACTACTCGATAAAAGGCAAAGTAAAAACTAAGAATAGTTTTAAAAAAGGAGGCCGTTAGCTGGAAATAACAAGTAGATAAACCGAGATATGAACGAAATTAGACCATCCTTTAACATTTAGAAATCAACTCCGTAAGAACTTTGTAGACTAGTCAAGAGGGATTATCCGCTTCAGCAGGCGCTAGGGGAAATTGCTCACCTTCATATCCGTTGCTCCGACTGCTCTGCGGGCCATGTTTGGCATGTCATAGCTGCCTTCCGGATCCAATAGGTCATAACGGGAAGAAATGGCATAGATGGCGTTGTACGGAGGTGTGCAGTTGCATCCTGACACAGGATCGTGGGTGTAGTCATTATACCTTGAGAAAAAACAAAAACAAAAAAAAAAAAACGCACGTTGCAAATGTAGTTAGCGTGATGGTTCTACCGAAGCAGTTTTTTATGCACTATAAGAGCTGTCCTCAGTAAACACAATTTGTGTTGTGCAAAAAGCAGACCTCTCTGTTTATGCGGTACAGTTACAGAAATAGCTGCGATATCTTATCAGACTTTTATGTATCTTTCTGTATCTCAAACCTTACGTGGAGAAACTGCTGCCAGTGTCCGCTGGGAGAGTGACACACTGATCTTAAGTATGAAACTATTTATGCTAACCTAACGGGACACCTTGACGTCATCAGACAACGTGACTTGACATGGTATGATAACTTCACGGTGTAACGTGACGATATTGACGATAGACCACCCTCTATCAACTTCACTTCGACTGGGGAAGGAGCCCATAGCAGCGATCGCTGTAAAAATTATGGCCGCTTCGGCGCGCGATTACGTTTCTAGAGAGACCCCTCTGCTGTCTCGGCTGATACAGCACGACTCAGGGACTACGTGAGTGAGACATCAGAAAAGTGGGCAGGCGCCTTTTCAACATCGTCTCCCTCGCTCTTTTGTTTTCGGGAGATTCAATGAGGACATCAGCCGTGGAGGCCGGGCTTTATTGACAGGCAGCATATAGATATTGATTGGTACCGTCCTGTGGTGTACGCCATGAGCTTATTTCAAGGAGGCGAGCTGACAGCCGCTCCCCTCTCAGTCAATGTTTTCTCACATGCACCGGAAGCGGAAAAAACAGTTACGCTACCTTCCGCTAAAAATTGTGAACGACACAAGTCGTAGCGAATTGTGTCCTGTGTGGAAAGCAGTTTGGTTGGGTAGGAATGGTACGGAACTGTTAATTGGTTGTCAGCAGGGAAATCGCTTCTGATGATAAGAAGGACCAAATGAAATCTTCGAATTTTACCACCAGGTGCACATGCCTTTTTCTTTATATACTTAGCAGTGATAATTTCCGATGTACAAATATACATTTCCTTGCCAATTTGAAGCTCAAGAAGTTGACACATGAGAGGCTAGACTCCATGAAGCAAGTCTGCAGCGAAGATCCGACGTACATCGCCCTACTACAAGCTGGCTTTGACCACGGCATCGCCGCTGGGCAAAACTTGTCGCTTTTTCGCGCCATGCTCGCTCAATATATTTCAGTCTAAAAAAATAGTTCTGAGGCAGCTCATCAGCCACTATTAGACAGCAGGATTCCTTACCTCCTTTTGAACTAATAATGTTTAAAGGAAAAGTGAAGGTGCCACAGCAGTTTCTACTGTGCGTAACTCTAGAGAGGGAGACGCCACACATTGGAAAAGATGAGAAAGAGAATCGGAGAGATACTGCTTTCCACGTATGCAACGAAAACTTGTGCCGCCTGGCGACGAAAATGCGAAACAGAGGAAAGGGTATTTAATGCATGTCGTTGAAGTTCCTAACAAAGGAGGCCTGGCGGTCTAACGAATCGACGTTGGCAGGAAGCCGCCAGTGATAAGTGATTCAGTGCGCAGAAAACGACAAATATATCCAAACCTACGCGAAAAAATTCTTACATAGTGATGAAAAGGTTATCGATAATGTCTTCAATGTCTTAGGCTTACTCTCGCTTGGCTGGGGCACAAACGTGTAGCAAGTTAAAACATACTTTTTTTTTTCGAAATAAGTAATACCTAACTTAATTGCACTCCCATTTTACGCTCCACTGGAACGTCTTTTCTGCCCGTTCAATAGTATAAAACTGATCGTTCAGTCAATAATTTAGACCCTTTTGAAAATTCAGTGCCATCTGGTAGCTCAGATAGCAATTTATCTACTGCCCCCCTAATGGTGTTATTTGTCCTGCAGTCCGTAGTGTTTTGCCGGGAACCTTCACTTTTGATAGTCAACGGGAGATGAGAGGGTATGCTTTACCTTGCAATTCTTTCTGGATCTCTCTGCTTCTATGATGACAGTATAAATGCGGTAGGAATGAAGCACCAACTGAAATTGATGAGGTAATAAGCGTTTATACATCCAGGTGCTTTAAAGGTGATTATGTGCTGGCAACAGATTGACTGCACCCGAGTTAGAATGAACGCTTACGCAACTTTCGTATTCAATTCCCGCGTCGCGTCGTACTCACGTCTCGAGCGTATAGCCCTCGCATCATCCGCTTCGGAACATCTTCAAAGTTTTCCATTATCAGTAACGACAAAGTAGCCATTGCTACGACACAAATGCTATTCCTGAGATGATGATAGTGATTAAAGGGACAAGAATGAATTTCGGAAAGGGTCTATACAAGACCTCATAAGCTCACGAACCTGCTTTCAAGTAAAACCAATGTGTATTTTTCTAATGTTTTACGTAACTGAAAAAGCAGGCTATTGTGCTCAGTTGGATGTTCGTTCTATGTGAGAATAACTGGATTAATTAATATTAAAGTAGTTTTAGATAGCACACATGATTCGCAGAAATGTTCCTTGCACCCAGTATTGCATAATGAAACGCAGATGCCTACTGTCCGCGGTATGGTTTGGTCCTGCTGCATCTTTCACAGGAGTCTTATAGCCAGCCCCTACATCACTACTGCATCTCTAATATTATTCCGATATTAGTTCGAAGTACTATATTTTACAAAGATATTTTATTGCAATCTGGTTCCTTCTCTTAATTCCAAGGCTAATTTGTTAGGAATAAAGTTCGAAGCTAAATCATGCAGCACATTTTGTTGAGAGCAGCCCCTTTAAAAACACCTGAAGAGAGATACAATAAAATTACGAAATGATAGCGTTGTATTGTTCAGACAGTCCTCAAAAAAACATACCTCATGAGAGCTGTCATGGAGTCAACGTCCTCGACCTTGCCCTGCTCCCTCCTAAATAGCTGTGCCCGAGGACACATGTCATGGCTGTAATAATTTCCATATTTTTTTACCAGTTGGGGTTGACCGCTTAGGTTGAAGATTTCAGGGAGGAAGCTGAAATTCGAAAGAAGCTGGTTAGCCGCTTAATGTTCGGTAAAATACTGAGCAAGCGCCCACTAAAAATTTAGAGATAATTCATTAAAACTGGAGAATGGGCCCTCCTTAGGTAGAAGAATATGTAAATATACATCATGCATTTTCTGAAGGTCACAAAACTGAGGAGTGGGCTCCTATTTTGGAATGGGCAGATACTTGGTATTTTATGGTAGACTAAGGTCCGACGTACACATCGAGACACTGTTAGCGCGAACACGACATCGGCGCCTTTTCGCATTTTATTTGGAAAAAGTATTAGTGGGCACATAATTATACCTCTTATATTAGAGCCCTAATTGAGCCCTTTCTATGACAATGACATCTTTGATGACAATCTTTCTGTTCTAAGAGCAAAACAAAGAAAACTGGCGATCGCTTGTTCGCGCTAACAGTGTCGTGCTCTGTACAACCTCGGGTTTCAGTTGGGATGACAATTCGATCAGAGCTTTCCCCTCCTAAAATGCGAGGAAAGCCGAGTTGGGGCAAGCTATAACGTAAAAAGGTCATGAGAAAGAATGGAGTGAGAAAATGTAAATTGCGTGATGTGTACGTCGGCCTTTTAGAGAAGAAAAGACAAGAAAAATCATTGCCCTTCCAACACATTCGAACAAATATGTAATGCCGATTATATAAACTTCTGAACATATACTCAGAGAGAAGTAAGGATTCTTTGTTACTCGCAACTTAGTGGTATGAGAAAAGGTTGTAGAGGCAAGTTGTACGACTTAACGTTTTATTAACAATACAATGACCAACTGCACCGTTCCTCGCACACTTCTTGTGAACGTTCGTATTTATTTGCTAGACTAGTCACTAAAAGTACTTCCTCACGTTTTCGAGTTTGAATCTTGTCCGGCACCTAAGGTGAAATTTTATATCTTCATATTATTTTACTAGAAATACACCACACCAGATTGTCTGAAGGAAAGGCATGGGTGGGTTGAAACTCATAAGTTGAACTTGTTTGATTCAGTGGACACAGATCATAGTCGGTAACGAAAGTGTACTTACGGGATATTGTAACTTGCCCAGTACTTTTGATTTTGAAGATATTCGCTGACATCTTTAGTCTTCGTTGTATTCCTGTAGAAAGATTACGCATTTCATTATCACTTCCCAGAGGAAAAGACTTAGAACTTACGGCATCTGCTCCAAGATCCAAAAAGTATCTTTTCCGATGGCGGCTCCAGGAGTGAACAGCTTGTAGTCCAACACCATCCACTGGTTGTTTAACCTAGAATGAGGAAAAATTGCAGTCAGCTTGAAATACATCATTGCTATCAAAGGTAAACTGCTCCTAGGGATTGATTCATGAAATTACATTCGTTATTTTTTGTTCTGCACGCTTTATTACGTATTACCCAAACTGATGATATATAGTAAATGCTTGTTTTTTCGGCATCAGTTCATGTTGCACCTAACACCAGAAGTTAGAACATCCTTTATGATCAACCTGATAACATCTCAATAATACTGACAAGGGCCCTTGAAATGCAAGCCTGCCTTTTAATTCCAGGTGACATTCCGTTTTAAATTATATGGTAGTCGAGACACCACAGCCATTGTGTGCCTCTTTCTCTGCTCTTAGCGCAAGGTCTACTTGCGGAAATAGTCAGTCAGAATAGTATAATAAAATACGACATGTGGAGTACAAAATGTTTACACTTGTTTGATACCTTCCCATAGCTGAGAAATTGGTAAGAAAAGGTTGTCGTATAAAACTTTAATACAACAGAAATTGTAAATCATCGTTCTTTCCAACCAGACATCATCACCTATTGAGATGATGTGGATTGTTCGCCAAATAAGAGAAGGCACCGCAGCCAACTCGAGGGCACATGCACTCTCGTAAAAGAAGGCAGAAGGCGACTCGGTGAAAAGGAACAGCTTAAAATCCGTGGTCCCGGCAGACAAGTAATGCACCGGACGGACGTCTGAAGGACCGTGGGGGCACCACCAAGGTACCGCGGACCCTCCGCCTACACCGAGCTTTTCGGAGAGCATCTGCGCGTCACCATCACCAAGGCTGCGTGACAACGCCAGTGCGAAAACTCGTGAGCGGGACGCTTATGACTAAGCCTGACATTTTAATATATATATCGTGTGCTCTATATAATGCTATTTAATTACCGTATTTGCTCGAGTAATAGCCGCGCTGTTCAGGAGAAAAGCTTGGGGGTCTGCTTTCCCGTGGAGCACAGGGATAGCAAAGCACCGCGATGGGCAGAAAAATGGCAGCGATTTACGGAAAGGAGATAGCGTCTTCACGCGAAAATGCTACCTGCTCATATTGCATTTTTACGGAAAATCATGCTCTCGAGCTCATGATTCGCTGCGTTGTTTGTACATGGCGCGATAATTGCATACGGAACCCCCCTTTGTAAATAAGATTTTTGTTTCACCTACAACCAATTCTGGAATCTCGAGTCCATTGTTTATTCTAACCATCACAGTCATGGCCACAATATGTTTCATGGGACCTACATCGATACGTAGCTATTTATATAAGATATCGATTGGTATATGTTTCTTGTTCATTGAATTCACTGGAAAATTTCAATTCGCCCCAAATATGGACAAACATTGAAAATACGCAAATTTTGAGGTCGACATTCACAAAGAAGCCATTATTATTGTCTTCTAACTTTCTTTCTGAAGCGTCCATACGGTGTAGAGACAGTGTATATAAGTCTTGAGTGTAATATTTTTGTTGTATTTTATTGACAACTAGTACTGTAAGCCAATTTTAAGTCCGTCACTCAATACCTGGTTCAAATATGCTGGCTTCACAGCAATGCTACTGGCGGCTTCATAAATACCAGATGGTTTTAGGAGCATGTTTATTATAATTAGTTTGCTGTTATATAAGCTCATGGCAACTCCTGGAACATGGGAGGCACGTTACGGAGGGCCAAATGAACCATTCATGTTAACAGTTATGCCACACGCAGTCTAAGAGCGGGGACAGCTAGACATTATATCTCGAGATCTGGCGGGCGAGTGTTGTTACCGAATAAATCTCTGAAGTAGAGTACGATTAAGTGAACTTGCATATGCAACCTAAGTTATATACGAGAGCCCGGTTTCTGAGAGAAATGAAACCCTTTACTATTATTTCAAAAGTCGTTACAGCTAGAAAATACAATGATTGAAATTTTCTTATTTCTATGTAATTTTGCCTTAAAATTTCATGGCTGGAGAAGCTTCTTGCCATCCCCTTTACTATTAAACACGAACAGGAGCGAAGCTGGTAGAAATAATGTAGAGCTTCCGAAAGCGGCAGCCGACGTTCATGAAGAGAGTTGAATATCTGGTCGTAATTTCTTCACGCAGTTTAGTTAATCACAAACAAGATATTTCTGACAGCCACGTATAGCTTACTTCAAAGGGAATCGTCTTCATAATAAAAATATTGAAACTTCTTTTTCGTCAAACGAAGTATCGACGCCCATCTTGTAAGTAGTAACCTTGTTGTTCACCGAACTGACTCAAACGCCGGTCCCTTTTGAACAGCGCGAGGAAGAACAATGATAGTCTAAGAGTACGACAAGCTTTGGTTACCGCGTGCCTCCGACCGAAGCTCTGTACTGGACCGGTTCGCTGTGCCCAACTATCCTTCCCTCACCAAAGGACATCACTGCGCAAACTTCTCCGACTCCGTTTAGTCAAGGTTGTCTACAGGAGGCGGCGAAGAGAGCCGGCATTCGACGTTAGCCTGCCTATCTCATGAATGCGCGGAACCTTATTAACGGGGGGGGGGGGGGGGGGGGGAAGGGGGTCGCAATGCATCTATAGTTATAACCGCTGTGATTATTGACAGTTGCCGGCAAGACCACTGTCTCGAGCACGCAAGCACCACACCAAAAATGAACTCGTTGTCAGCGGCAATCTACGCAGTAGTGATTACACGACCGCGTACCGGTACGAAACTCATCCGGATCAAAACGGGCGGTGGGTGGGAATCGAACACAGAGGGTTCTGCAGTGCAAGCTCCCGCTCCGAGCTGAGACGTGTTAGCCCACTCGGCCACCGATCCCCCTCTATATCTTTTAAGTTCGTCTATCAGATTTTGTACGTGTCTCCTAAAGCTTGCTGTCCTCGCGTATCCGCCGATATTATTATCGTCCTTTCTTTTTCTTATTTCTGACCTCCGTTCCCTTTAAATGAAAATACATACAGCACGCTCTTTCTCGGTGATGCTTTTCAGCGAATAAATTCACATAGTCGTCAATACGAATACAATATGAAATCAAAAATAGAAAATGAGAAGTGATAAACACGCAAAAGGACGCACTTTGCTAAGAAAGAACAGATAGGTTTAAACTTGGAAGTAGGTGGTCCCTCGTATTTCGTATGTCCACGTTTCAATTATGGCTGCAGTTTTCAGCCATGCGCCGACTACTTTGCATACTGCGCCGACTACTTTGAGAGACGTACGCGAGTGATATACCACAACCGATATTTCCGGCCCTTAACCGACCTCAGCGTCGATGCATTAAAAAGATTCATGCCTCCAACCAAAGCTGCTACTGTGCTGTCGACGGATATCCTCTGCCAGAAGTGTTTTCCACGCACCGGTGAGCATCTTTCAGCCTGTACGGTGAATGACCCATCTGCTAAAGGGCTTCAGACAACTCCCTTGCAGATGCCCTCAGTCGTAAACCAGAACAGCCATTAGTCTTATGCGCTAAGGAGACAGCGGGAAATTGAAGGGTCATACAGCAGACAAGTGCTTAAAATGTTGGCTACAGCCTGGCAACGAGTGAATTAAACTCTGGCACTGAACCCTCCAGCCTTAACTGTGACGAGTGGTGGGCGAACCTCAGAGAAGCCTTTTTCAAGCCACCGTCTTATCAAGAGAGATGCCAGCTGCTTATTCTTGTGCTTGAAAGTGTAACTGTTAACGTGGTAGCACGTTTAATCGCAGAGGCATCGAGCTATGTCCAAAAAATTTCAAACGACTTCGTGAACATTTTGGCGTGTGGGAGCGTCTGGAGCCATACCAAGGCGCTAAGATAGCCGAGGACATCGTGCAGTCTGCCGCTCGGTTTTACACCGACGATGGTTTCAACTGTTACCGGCAGAGCGCAAACAAATAGAACGTTGTAAGAATTATGAAGGATGGGCAAAAACGAACCGTTGTCAAGCGTTATATGACCAGGTCCATTCGAACAGCCTACCAGCTGTTAAAGATAGCTAACTAAGACTCCAAATTAGGACTGACCAACCTCTGCGACCAAAATGAGTTAAGCTGAACCCCGACCAAACCGTGTGTGCATGCGTGTGCTGCACAAATTATGATTTGTGCTTTTCTGCCCTCAACAGCGCCCGGCAAGAAAAAAAATAACAGCGGAGGATATTGTCGCTTTGTGTCTTTGTCCTGACTAAACGCCAAGTTGTATGTGGGGTGAATGCAAGAAATGCCCCCAGCATTCATCGACCCTCCTTACAAGAATTGCAATTCGTTCCAGATGAGGAGATTAGATTTTGCACGTGGGAGAACGGCAATTTGGTAATAAGACTGCGAACTCGAACGCCTTTTGAAGGAGGTTCAAAAATGGGCCACAAGATTTTCTGCTCATGACTTCATCCGTAGAAGTCAACGGGAAGCTGTTCGGATTGAGAGGAGCAAGGTGATCACTAGACACATTACCATGCATTTCGATTTTTCAGAAAACTGGATGGTGATCCTGCCACATAAAATACAAGAGCCCCACTGGAAGAAGCTTCAAATGTTGGTGTTCACAATGTTACGTCGACCTCGCAAGGTCCCAAATGTTTCGGTGTCATGTGTAAAGACATGTGCCATGAAACATCCCACGCGGTACTCGCTCTGAGGCGCATTGAGGACTAGTTGGAAGACTATATTTCTGTTTATGCGTCATTAACGGATATATCTGACGCTGAACCAGCTCATTATAACAACAGATTTCAGCTCTACAAGTTCCAACGAGCCGGTCTTCTGAAGGTGAAGTAGGGTTTTTTCTGCCTCAGGACGCGGCAAGAACTCCTGTGCTGGAGTAGGGGGGCCACTAAAGCATCAGGCGACGGTGCACAACCTCCGTTCGTCTGCGGATGAGACCATACAGACATCAACAGATCTCGTGCACAAGGTTGGAAAGTATGTAAAAAAACGTGACTCTCCTGAATTAAGAAAAAATAGACGATGTGAGTGATTTCCGCAAAACCAAGAGAGCCGAATAGGGATATATACCTGCTAAAAAGGCACCCGCCTTTCACACGTGTGGCGACTTGAAAAAGGTGAAGTGCGTCTTCAGCGAACTGCCTAATCGGTATGTTTGTGCCTAAATTGTGTTTGCAATCTGTAACTTTGTTAACTATCTAGGTAAATGGCAGATGTTTTGTAAAAGCCTCTGCATGAACACACGGGGGAGTGTTGTGCACAATGATCGGCATTATGGATGTGTATTTTAGTAATGTGGATACATTGGTAGTTAAATCGAGTGTTTTTGTGATGCGATACCAGGAGTGTTTTTCATTTCGTCAGCTGAACTTTGTCTTATGTATGGAAGCTTTTAAGGAAAATCAAATAATCTACATAGTTCAAACAAAAAATGTCCTTGCGTTCATAACTGGGAAACATAATTTAATTATCACAGAAGAAAGGTACTAAGTTGCTTTATGAGTAATTATTTTGTATTTATTTTTAAATCACACTTTTATGTCACACTGTGTGCCAGCAATTTCTAAGATTAGAACGTTCACCTGCTAAAACTTAAGACATGTCTGGCTCGTCGAACACTAGGCTGCAGGTGGCATCACTGTTAAATTGAATAATTAATTTTCACTTCCGTAACGTGCGTCAGATGTTCCTGAAGCTGTCAGGAGCATATATCTATATATATATATATATATATATATATATATATATATATATAACAGCAAGCTCATCAAGATAAACTGGCTTCTAAAACCATTTGTTATTAATAAGGCCGCCGTACCATTGCCGTGAAGCCCGCACGGTTGAACCAAGGATTGGGTGACGGGCTTAAAATTGGCTTATTTAACTAGTTGTCACCAAAATAAAACGAATATATTACACCCAAAACTTATATACAGTATTTTTACACTTTATGGGCAATCAAGTAAAAAAAAAAATTAAAAGAAAATAACATTTTTTTCAGAAAATAATTTTAAAGTTTGCATATTTTCGTTTTTTGTATACTTCTGGGACGAAATCAGATTTGTTTAATAAGTTCAATGAAAAAGATTTATATACCGATGTGTAGCTTATATAAATAACCACGTATCGCATGACGTCTTATGACATAGCTTCTTACCGTTCATTTAATATAGCTATACCAATATTGGTCAACACTGCTCTGGGCGGCATGTTTGCAATTGCATGTAAAGATAAACAAAAAAGGTAAAAGACAACAATTTGCATCTAAAAGCAGTCTGCATTGCATGCTTGTAGTGTAAAAGTTCTTATATCTAAGTGAGAAGTCAATATGTTACGAAGACCATCTACACTTGAGCAAAAGTCGATTCGCGATTTTCACGCATTCCACCCAGCAGCGTTTTTTTATATATTTTTTTCTCTCGAACTGCATATTTCTAAATGTTTTTAAAGGGAGTTTTGTTTTTCACAGGGATTGGGATTTCACATATATTTTCATACATAATTCTGAGGGCCCACCCCGACAAGGTTGGCCGAACTGAATTTAAACCACTCTCGTAGTATTATTATAATTATTATTATTGTTATTATAATTATTATTACTTTATTTCTTATCAAAGTGATAAGGGAGGCCGGAGAAAAAAAGTTTAAAGGAGCAGCTTGACAAGCCTCCGGCCCCCTGGAATGCCAAAACAGATGGCAGCGAGAGAGAGAGAAAAAAAAAGATTCAAACTGAAAAAAAAAGAAAACAAACTTTGTCCATGAACACATATTTAGCAATAACTCTACAAACTTTGGAGTTGTTTGGCTGCGGTTCAAATCACTCTTTGTAAAGCTGTTGAGAAAATACGGTAGGGTGTATTTGAGCATTTGTTCACCATAACTTGTTTTGTGAGGAATCATCCTCTAACATTCATTGTAACGAGTAGAACATGCCTGGACGTTTTTGGCCAGTGTTGAAAAGTCAGCTAGAAAGAGAGAATTCCTTTTTTCTTCGTTTTTAGAAATTACGCTAACCTGTTTTTGTACAAATTTTGCGCAGTAATACATTAATTGTAAAATGTGGAAACACATCTGCAGTTTGACGGTCATACGGAACGGCACAGATAATTTTGGTTATCGACTTTTGGAGTAAATTATATTACCTAAATTTGTTGATGTGGCCATGCCCCATACAAGGTGACAATAACTTAAGTAGAAGTTAAAAGATGGAGTGTTGGATAAGTAATCGTACAAGAATTGGCAAGACAGAGCTGTTACGGTAGACCAACCCGACGATGCAAGGGAACTTATGGCCGACGTAATTTACGTGGCGGCCCCACATGTTCTCAGAAAAAATACCGGCGAGTGTTTTAAAAGCACAGACAATGTTAATACGTATCGCATTTAAGATAACGCCGGTATTGTACGAGAGTTGTTTATTGTTAGGGCGAAACATAACGGCTTTCGTTTGGCTTGCGTTAATTTTCATTCCGTTTTCATTTGCCCATGAACTTCATTTGGATGATGTTTTATTTGCAAGACTAAACTTGCTTACCGCGTAAACTTTCACATTTATCTTTTGAACCGGAGCAGTTATATAAGTTCGTCTTCAGTAATTTTCAAAAATTGTTATGCGTACAGGTTTAAAAGAAAAGTGGAAATAAGAACAGAGCAAAAGGTTTGGATGGGCTCATAGACATAGGTGAAACTAGGGTGAACTTACGTGCCACTGTTCAATTTCCCAAAGTATTCAACCCATTGGGAACCGGTGACTGCAAGCCTGGTGGCAACCATACACCTAACCCAGGTGAGAGGTGCATTTTCCGGTTTAATCAAGTTCCGGAGACTGTCATTGTTGTTTTCTAAAGAGGTTTCTGTAATTGCCTAAAATGCGGAAAAAATATAATCGGTAATGTTAACGAGTGAAAAGCTGTAATGCAGATATCAATAATTTTGTTGTTTGAAAAAGTAGCGAGAAATTAGAGGCAATAATTATCATATGTGATAAATTTTCTTCTAAGGATACAATTTTCAGCAAGACTATTTGTACAGGGTGTTTCCAGAGAGGACGGCAAAACCATTTTTGCGAAAACTCCGCATCGCACAGAAAAAGATTGATGCCGAAGTTGTCGGTGTCAAAGGGCCCAGTAAGGAAAGTTATTAGCGTTAAATATACTTGGGTAATTTATTTGCAAATCATCGATATTAATGGCATGGTTTTAATAAAACTCTTGCTGGGCATCATCGAAAACTTCTAAATACACTCACATTACAATGATATAAGGCACGGGCAGAATTTTGCTGCGTTCCGAAAAAACGCTCAATATGGACGCGTTTCTTGTTTTCCCTTTCTTATCGGAGCACTTGTCCGCGAGGGAAATCCTGCCACCCGTTTCTAAAACGCGCAACGGGCGCGCGCCGCCAGGCACTGCATCTAAAGTTGCGTCTTCACATTGACACCGACGTCGAAAAGGCAAACCTCATGCGAGAGTCCGGAAACTCTCTTATCTAACCTCTTCTATGTGCGATGCGTGGCGCCGCACGCACGTTGCGCGCTTTAGACATGGGGGGGGGGGGGGGGGGTTGCCCGTGCGGAGACGCGTTCCGATAGGAAACTGAATATCAGAAACGCGTTCAAAATAGGCATATTTTTAGAGCGCTGTCAATTGCTTCGCGTGCCTTATACAATTGTAACGTGGTTATATTTAGTAGTTTTCGATGATTCCCAGCAAGACTGTAATTGAAGCTGTGCCTTTAAAATAAATACATAACAATTTAATTATTCTAAAGTAATTATTTACCCAATTAAATTGAAGTCTAAAATTTTCGCTAGACCAGTAAGGCATCAACCCTTTTTCTATGCAATATGTAGTTTCCGTGCTGGAGGAATTTTGACCGCGTTTCTGTAATCAACCAGTATATTCAGCTTAATATTGATTACGATCATGATATTAAAAGACGTCGTCTTCGGTCTTTACACTCGCCTGAATTTTAAATCTCCTTTTAGATCAGTTTAGTTTAAGTTTGGGAGAATAAAATACAAGTGTTTTAAGGCATTCGATGGAGTGGTAAGTTATATAACTTGTATCCCACCTAGAAATAACATATTAAGAGCGATCGTACGTCAACATTGACTGTTTAATCACACATTCCGATCAATGTTCATTATATTATATTCTAACGGGCAACAAAAATGCAGAAAAAGAAAACAAGAAGAGGCATGCATATGTGAAACTCGTGACAGTTCTGGGGCGCCCGTTTTGCCCATGAGCCGAGACGCCCTTAACATTTGGTTGCAGCGGTAGGATTTCAAAATGGCAACCTAATCGGAGGCAAGTAGCATGATAATAACTTCTGTGACGATGTAAATCAGGAGCGTTTAGTTAATCTACTCGCCGCAAGGAAAGCTATGAACATAGTGAACCTTCTTGGAACCCTCGACAATTTCCTCGGAACGCGTATGCCTCTGTTGGAAACCGCGGCTGAGCGTCAGGTTGCCGATGTCAGGCAATGCCTTAATCAGAGCCTTTCGTCAATGGAATCTCGAGTTCGACAGACTGAGCACCACGGATTGCCACCTAGGCTGTCGACATTCGATGGCCAGTCGTCTTGGTAAGCCTTTATCGTTCAATTTGAAACCGTTGCAGATTTCTACGAGTTCAACGCAACGTGTGAAGCTCGTGGTATGGTAGCCCAGTTGAGGGGCAACGCTGCTGAGTGTAAGGATAGCATGTCTGCAACTTGTCTTTCCTCATATAATTTACTCGCCAGCAATTTCATGCACCACCGCTAAGGCACGGACATGCTCTACCTTGTTGCCTTGGTTTCTTGGAGAAGGAGAGTTTGATGCTTTCAGTTCTCAACCTGACGAATGGTGACTTGCTTCTGAAATCCGGTGAAGACTTCGGACCTCTGACATTTGCCCTCTCCCATGCCACTGTCGCGACAATTAGTGTTGTACCAACGATGTCTTCCCCGCAAGATTATATTGAAAAAATTATCTTCCGTGGTCAGAATTTAATTTCGGCCACAAATAAACGCATCAACAAAAAGCACAAATACAAGATCTGCTCTTGGACTTTCGACAGTGCGTTGCTATTACGCCGGAAGAACTAGGGTGCGCACCTTTTGTGCGCCACACCTTCAAAACGGATCACACTCCAGTACATTACAATCCAAGAAGTGTTTCAACGAGAGAACGTGAGGAGATAAACGACCATGTGGACGACATGCTCCAAAGAGACGTTATAACAAGCTCTCACAGTGCTTGATCGTCACCACCTGTCTTGGTGAGGACGAAAGATGGCTCTACAAGATTATCTGTGGACCACCGGAAACGAAACATCATAACAAAACCAGACGTGTATCCCTTGCTACGACTTGATGATGTCCTTGATCGCCTCCATGGTACCAGTTAGTTTACTACACTGGATCTCATATCCGGGTATTGGCAAATGGAGCCGGAGCTGAAACATTTGAAAAAAAACCTGCGTTTGGGACTCCTGACGGATTGTTCCAGTTTAACCGCCTTTCATTCGAACTGTGCAATGCACCAGCGACCTTCCAAAGCCTCATGGAGTGGGGGCTTGGACACCTGAAGTGGACGATGGCGTTAGCTTCTCCTCAAGATGTCATTGTAAAAGCTGACGCCTTTGAAGAATATCAGCACCACCTGCGTGTGGTGCTGAATGCCCTCACCAAAGTGTATCTCCGTCCAAACAAAACCACCTAAATATTTCATCAAATGCGACGAAGGCGTTTACTTTGGACATTTCAACAAAAAAGATATTCGCCCGGATCCAACCAAGCTGGCAGCGCTAGCCAATATTCGTGAGCCCACTACCTCGAAGCAGTTCAATAACTTTTCAAGCTTTGTGTCTTACTTTCGCCAATTTGTAAGGAATTTCTCATAGAGCTGCTACTCTGTCTGAGCTTCTTAAAAAAGGCAACACGAGTCAGTGGTGTGCAAGTAAAACTTATTTTCCTGTTATCAAAAGAGCACTACTTGAATCACGAACTCTGATTCAATTTTCAAAAAAAAACAAAAAACACCAACAATCAGTCACACTGATGACAGTGGCGAAGGCCTTGGCGCTGTTATTCACCAGAGGGACAGGGCAGGAGTAAAACATCCCGTCATATACGCGAGCCACAAACTCAGCGGACCAGAAATTTGATTCCGCTCTTCAGAACTCAAATGCCAAGCAGTTGTTTGGGCAGTATAATATATCCGTCCATACACTTACGGAAAGCATTTTACAGCCATGACAGATAACTATCATCTCCGTTGGCTTCAATCAAAGAGAGATCTTACGTCGAAATTGACTTGGTGAGCATTGCAACTGCAAAAGTTTGACTTTTCGATCGTTCATGGAAGTTTGAAGCAGCACCAAGCCGCACACTTGCTCTCACGGCACCCCAGACGCGGGAGTTGCTCCAGTGCTCGCGCCCGCAGATTTGCAGTCTGCTCAAGTGGGGCAAATATGACACATTCGATGTATTCCAGTTACTCTCTAACGAAGTGAACGCGACCGCGACTTTGAGAACTTCCCTTACGACGTTTGCGAGTGCAAGTTACAAATGTTGTTTACGGCGAGTGCACAACAGCTTCGGGAAGGTCTACTGTGTCATGAAGCACATCCTTCAGGACCGCGGCTCCCCATCGTTCCCCCTAAAATGCGCTAGAACGTTCTTCAGATGTGCCATGGTGCTTCAACTGCGGATCATCTCAGGCGATACCGGATACTCAACAAAGTTGCCAAGAGATTTTGGCGGCCGCACCTCAGGACGAACGTCTGACAGTACGTCGCGTCATGCGCAACATGCCAACTCCGGAAAACACCACTTTACCTGGCGAAGTTCGAGCTACAGCAGATACCTCCTTCAGAAAGCCCGTCGTTTGAAGTTGTTGGAATTGATAACCTGGTGCCGTTTTCAAAATCCTATTATGGAATTAAGTACGTCATTGTAGCAACGGACTACCTGACGAAGTGGGTCGAAGTGGAGGTAGTCCCCGATACTTCAGCTCTGCATCTCGTTCCCTTTATCAACAAACACCTTGTACTCAGGCATGGCACACATCGTCTTCTAATGTCTGACAGGGGAACGTCAGCTATGTCCCGTACTTTAGGCTGTGCTTTGCAAGACTGCGAGTTCAACATGCGTCTGCTTCACCTCATTTCCTCATTTTCTAGAGGAAATGAGCTCGTGGAGCGTACCTACCGCGGCCTAGGAGATGTATTAGCTGCGTTCGTTAACACAACTCAAAGAGCTCGAACAAGTTCAATGATACAACGGCGTTCGCGTTGAATACTCCACAACAAGAAGTGACTGCCAAATCTCCATTTGAGCTAGCTTGCGGAAGACTCCCGACACCTTTGCAGAAATCAGCGATGGGCGCTGCGCGGACCCGTCGGGCGCGATAGTACGAAACTTCGCTGCAAGACTAAGTGAAGCAAGATAACTTGCTCGGCTGGCAATTTACATAAGCAATCAAAATTTTTCGAGCGTCACAACAGATATACTTTATAGCCGCCATTTCCACCAGGTGATGTTGTGCTTTTTTGTAAGCACGTGAGAAGTCCAAAGCACTCAGAAAACTTTTACCCTGATGCTGCGGACATTTCTAGACCAGCGGGCAATTCGGACCTGTGACGTACGATATCGAAAACCTCGACATCTTGCCTCAGCGAGGGCGACGCCGCACCTTGACAGCCCATTCAAGACATCTGGAACTTCACACGTAATGACTATCTTGAAACCTCCCGGGACGAAATCGGAACGGGGAGAGGCGAGTGTAACGAACAAGGAAAATGAAAAAAAAAAAGATAGGAAAGAAGAAGAGGCGTCTGTGGAACTGGGAACTGAGTTCTGGGGCGCCCGTTTTGTTCATGAGCTAGACGCCCAAACACTGTGCTAAATGTTAAGATCAAAATATGGTATTTGCTGGCTTAATTAAAAACAAGGTACGGCGTACGTATCATTTATTAGACTTGACAAAACTTGCTTCAATTGTGTTGTCATGGTGTACATGAAAACCACTCCGCATTCTTAATGGAATAATTAATTTAGCCGATATGCTTAGAGGGTACATTGGCCTTCTTCATCTCCAAAATATTTACCAGGCAAATAATAAGCAAAATATAAATCGCTGTTTCTTCGATAAAACAACAACTAATGTTCTTTGAAATCGTACTTACCAAGCCAGTTGAAGCGATATAGAAATCGTCAAGTGAGAGCAACTTCCCAGGGTATGAAGGCATACTGATGGTGTGACCAGGAATAATTTCGCCTGAAGAAAGCAACGAGGTAAGAATACATGGCATGTCTTAATCAGCATGCTACTCGTGCCAGAGAGAATAAGAAGTTATAAAACACCTAAGAAAACGAAAAAACTAACATGTGTCAAATCTGAGCGTTAACATCACGATTTCCAATACAGCTTAAAATCAGAATTATATTTTTTTTATTATTATAGGCCTGGGCCATGAATTAGAAAGAAGCCGAAAGTAATTTATTGATATACAACGAAAGGGTCAGTATGAATGACGGAATCAGGCTTAATCAACGAAAAGGCGTGGGGTTAGCTCGCCATGAAACCGTTTCCGAAGAATGCGGAATCAGGCAACACTTTCCGGTTAAAAAAGCTTTAGTGCTGAATTTTTCTAGGCTACAAATAAGGCTACTATCGGGCACAGATTGGAGCTGCTTCATCGGCCGGCTGGTACTGGTGTTCAGTCATTGAGAACACGAGCCTTCCCCGAAGGCTGACGTCGCATTCGTGTCAAAGTTGCGCACATCAGTGGCCTCCTTTAGTGACGTGCAAAATTCAGCACTAAGGCCTTCTTATCTTCGTGGCGTTCAATCACGTGAGAAAATCTCGACACACCATTAAATTTGTTTGAAAGATATGTTATTATGACCCATGGTGGTAAACGTGCGAACGTTCCTCATGCGGCTATGATTATTAAGCAGAAACATAAAGAACAACATGCTCTTATCAGCCGCTTCGTGCAGTTGAAATGATTGGTGGATGTAGTGTAGAATGTTTGTACGCTTGCATCACCGAAATATCGAATATTTTATTCCTTTTCTTAAGATACCGTGTTCCATACCCCCTCAAGCAGCATTGGCTGTCGCACTTTCTAGGGCATAAAGCGTGTGACTTGTTCCGAGCCTTTTCCGAGCGCTAACGCATCACTCGTTCGGAAAACGAGCTGGGCCGAGTTCACGGCGATAGCTAACTCAGTCCTTGCGTCTAACACATGTTCAAGGGCGCTTCACATCCTTGCGTAAGTCCGCCCGAGTGCAACTGCAACGGCTTGCAACGCACGGTTCATCATAGCAACAGCAGGGTCGGCTCCAACAAAACGAGGTAAAAACAGTTTTGTTGGAGCCGTAGCAGCTGTTGCCATAGCAACCCGTGCGTCGCAAGTCGTTGCAGTCGCACTCAGGCGGACTCGACGCAAGTGTAGGAATCGTCCTTTAGAGGGCGTGCGCGTCCCAACAATGGCGGATTTGCAGTAATTGTCGCAGCCGCTTCTAGATGGCGCTCACTCTTGAAACGGGTCTATCTCCATGAAAATTTAGAAACAATTAAGTTCCGCCTTCTTGACATGTTTCATGGCCGCATTTAACATAGCTCGCTCTTCAGTTAAACATGTCTAAAATTCTCTCAGCCTGAGACCCTCAAAATATGTTTTGTTCGTTGTCAAATGACGGGATATGGGAGAGTGGTCATGCTGCTTTGAAGTTTCCAACTGCCCAGGTGTAATTTTAGGCAGTAACTATACTTCGTTTCAACTTAAGTCCAAAGGCAGCAGACGCTACGAGTGAATGGGACCAATCGAACAACGTCAAAAGCGGAAGTCGGAGGCCTTAACTGTTTATGATTGGTTCAGCGATGATAGACCACGCACAGAAACATGACGACGAGCATGATGGTGCGCTTTTGATGCTGTCTGATTGGTACCATCAGCCCGTAGCGTCTGCTGCGTCTGGACTTAAGTTGAAACAAAGTATTGTTGCTATAATAACGCGACGATGATAACTACTCCCTTTTGGCCGTAACTTGTAACTGTAACGCGTGAATGTTTAGTGAAAAAGTACACGTAACTGTAAAAGGGGATACTATTTTTATGAATTAACCGTAAACAATAAAGTCGTTACATTTGAGCTCTAGATTTCGGCACAAAACAATTCCAAACCGGACAGCCAAATCCTCCGCCAGAATATGCTACAAAAACCGTCTGGAGCAACACAGGAAACAAGGTAAGAGGAAAAAGAAACAAAATGTTTTGTGATCCTGCGTGGCTAAGCATGTGTTATCAACTAGAAGAGTGGGACCGGTCGTGCCCCTACCAATTTATGGCATATTTCCCACAGCGCGGAGAAATGAATTAAACTTCGGCATTTTTAATGTGTTTCTCTTTTTTCTCGTCCGACCGCGGAGCGCAAACTATTCGCGGCGGAGCGTTTTTGTGATTGCCGCTGAAACGCTGGCCAGGTGCTCATCGGCGAGAATATAGAAATATGCACGAGGCTTTGTCAAGCATGTTTTCCAAAGAGTTCGGTACTTATACAGCACAAGACTCAAAGACTGAATATTGTTATTTATACGCATCGGTCGAGGGAGGGCCACCGATCTCCGCACTCAATCCCCGTGGATGTTACATCACGTGACACCACAACTTGATACTCTAACATTTCGTGACGCTAAATGTTTGCTAAACAAATTTAAAAGAAGGAAACATAAATGTTATATATTTATTGTATTCTGAAATTAGAGTGTAAAGTCGCAGCCATTTTTTCTGCTTATTTGACGGTCGTCAATAGCGAAGAATGACCACAGTCCTTTTAGATGTTTTTTCTTGGGGGTGAGGGGGGGATTCGTTTACTTTTTGTCGAAGTTCGCAGCGATTCGATTTCCTACAAATTTGAGATGAAGTGAGGAACTGGCATATCCTGTAACTTTATCAATTGGCGAGTTCCTTTGTCTAATCTAGACGATTATTTTTGAATAACCCATTCCACTCTTCTTTTTTTTTTTTAGAAATATATGTTTAGGCGCCCAGCATCATATTTTTACTCCAAGAATTGTAAGGTGCTGCCACCTGATCTACCCATGTCCAGCCGCACCTGCAAGCGAGGTCACGTTGCCTGAGCGGAAACCTACCTAAATTACACAGTTCTACGCATGTGAGAATATGAATCTTTAATACCCAAGCTACAGCAAAGGAGAACCAACACGTCGACTTTCAGTTGCTTGACCAATAAACTTGTTTGTTTGCAAAATTTGACCGCGCTCAACTTGTACATACTCGAGTGTACACGTGAACATCCCTAGAAATGGTGTCGTGTAGCGCCCTACATAAAATTGGCGGTTTTATGAAAGCCTGGCTTCCGCCTGTCTGGGAAACATGTCGCTCGTGTACAGATATGTGAACACCGAAGAAGTCACCGTGTCATTTCAGTCATCAACAATCGTCGAGTGACAAGTAGTCACGGCAACTTCAACGTTATTCACAGTTTTGTGTTCTTGATAAGCCAGTTCGGAGTTTATTTATGCTGGCCGAAAGAAAATTATTATCTTCTTGAAAAAGCCCAAGAGTACCAATGCTCACTGCAACCATGTAACCAGTGCTCCTGGGACTGCAGCCCGACACATATTGATTGGGGATGAGAAAAATATATTTAATGGCGAATCAAGAGTAGGCTATTGACGCTGATCATGAACAGCAGTGACCTCACAAACCAGAGTAAATAAAACATTCCTTATTCGTGCTTTATAAGTATACTATTACTTCATCGCAGCTATAGCCTCCTCTATTTTTATCATATTATTTAAACGAATTCACGAGATGGAGCCCTGTATAACGATCAAGCTCTTAGGGCCTATTTAGCTATGTAAATAGTAATTTTCCCTTGAATCCTGGGTTCAACCCCGGCTCCTGCCCGTTTCAATCTGCATGAACATTGTACAGGTGTGTTTTTGTATAATAGTCAATGGGTGACACACGTGATTCCCCCAGGCTAAATTTTGCACTAGCTAAATTTCTTATCTACAGCGCATAATTTAGGCACCCAATAGGGTGGGCTATACACGGTGCCTAACCGTATACATAAGACTCGTTTTTTTTAGTAATCATTGAAGGGGTTACGATCCTTCAACTAATTTGTTTTACAATATTTACATAATAAGAAATCTGAGGCGTTTGTAACTGCGCCAGCGGGTGCTGGAGTTCGTCAAACCAGCAGCTCGAACCGCGAGCCGCCTTTCACGCGCCTCGGTCTTTTTCTTCCGCGCCTTGTTGCCAGTCGCTACAAGGTTCCCCCCTAGCAAGGAGGTCGGTGAGACGAGCGGTGTTGACGGTGTTGCAGCAAGTGTAGCAAAAACCTTTCCTGAAATGTCTTGTAAGGAGGTGTTGGGTAGATGGCTGGCTTGATACGGTCTAACGATACGACTTCCTTGCGACCTCTGATGGCCAGGGTGAATGTCTTTTCATTTCGTTTAAGCACCGGATAAGGTCCATCGTACGGGGCACTGTAGTGGGCGTCTGACGGTGTCGCTTCGCACGAACACACGACTGCAAATTTATATATTAATTATTTACTATGTTCACTAGTTCCAAACATCATCTTGTATTTTTTTCTTTCTCTTCGTTAGATCATTGCTTTAATTCCTCCTTTCATACATAATGCAAGAATCAAACACTCTTCGTACAAATATTCACAAGTTAACTTAATTCTTCTGAAACTCTAACAGCCTTTCGTAGTTGAGCGTCAGTTAAAAGATGCATCCCAAGCTCCAGTCGCCCAGTAGCGAAAGCAGTAAACTTAAAAAGCCACAATTTTCAAACAGGTGAGCATAACGGGGAATAAGTATGAAGCTCGTAAGAGGGCCGTATTACTTACTTGACTCCGATGTGACGTGCCAGGGAAACGTGTATTTCTTTTCTATCCTGAGCATGCTTCGGTACAAAAACCACGTGTTGTGAGCAAAAAGGATGTCTTCGTTGTCCGGCAGCACTTTGATGAGCACTGAGCAGGCATTTGTCTGGAAGATGCTGTTCTCGTCTCCCACTCTCCTCAGATATGCTTCCAGGTCCATCAAGTCTCCATCGAGGTTCAGGTACCTGAAAGTTTCTGATAATTATTCGGTCTGTAGACTCGCAAAACGACGAAAAACTCTAATATCTATCTGCTACAGAGATTTGGCAACAAATATGTTAATGCAATGTACCGAGAAGAAAAGAATTAGTTCCACTTGGGACATTATAAAACGTCTACTATGTGAGAAACTTTACAAAGCATTTGTTCTTTGGTGAAATGAAATATCCAAACACCCTTTGAGTGCCGCGCCCGAATATACTCGGGCGCTCTTCCCTGCACCCTCTCTGCTTCGCCCGAGTATACTCGTTTCGGGTTTTCAATATACTCCCGGCCTCTCCCGGCTAAACTAGGGCTGACAATATTCTTCTGAACAGGAAGCGCCATCTATGGACAACCAATTGAATCAATGTTGTGAGTGGTGGTTTCACCTCTTGATGGCAGGTCTAGATTTTTATAAAGGCGACATTCATATGCGTTTCCGCGTCAACATTATTTTCCGATGGCGAACGCATGGGCTTCGACTTGGCGCTCCTTGACGGATGCCGAAATACAGCAACTTGTAATGAATTCAGAAGGTGATGACAGTGAAACCGAGTGTACTTTAGAGAGTGACGAAAGCAACGACGACTCGACGCCACCTGAGACGCTACTCAAAAAGAAAAAAAAGAACTCTACGACACTGGCTAGAAGTACACTACAGGTGATTTCGCTTCAATCCTTCACAGTTTTGACTCGTCGTCTTGCGGAGTTCGTACCTCGGGCATCACGAAAACCTCAAGTGAGCCTGAGTAATTTGAGGTCCTGTTTCTCCCAGATGTTGTGGGTGTAATTGTTGCCCAGACAAACATTTATAACTGACAAGTGATCGCTTTGTGTACGCCGTCTGAGCAGTCGCGCCTGCAAGAATGGAAGAATGTCACCGCAAATGACGTGTACATGTTTCTGGCGGTGACAATGCTAATGGCACACATGAAGAAAGGTAGCCTTATACGTATTCTTTAGATAACCATACGTACGTAATATTGTACGTATTCTTTAACTAAACATAAATTTGTTCGTGCAGTGAAAAAAAAAGCCCGGCACAGGGGGAGCATCAGGCCGAAAGAAATCCGACACCTAAAGGGTTAAACAAAGGGTGTTTAACATCCTCCCTTGTATAGTGTCAGTACTGCATGCTCTAGAAAGCTTACGTTTTTTTTCATTGCACATATCCTACCTTAACTTAGTGTAAGGTTAAGTCTAACTTTGTAATTGGTCCTCCGGCCTTCTGATAACATAACGGAGTAATCTGATTGGATGCGCGAGGGTGATGCGAGGGTGATAAGGTGACCGGCAGTCGCCACGCCTCATATTTCTGAAGTTTTCAGTGACTGTACAGCTTGATAATTTAAGAAAACAACACAGTGCTTGTTTTTCAACCGCCTGTTGAACTTCATTGACATGAATGAAAAACAATATATATATATATATATATACATATTGTATGCGTGGTCGTCAGTGACCGGTAATATGTAGACTTAGGTTTGCTCACTTCTTAACTTTCTGAACAATCACAATACTTTAAAAAGAAGCAAAACATAATGCGCATAAGCTTTCACTGAAGGTGTGCTCAAGTAGAAGATAATAGGAAACTGAATTTTCAAGATGCGCACATTTTACGCTTCAAACTCCAAGGAGTCGAATAGGCTTCGTTTTATTCTGAATCACTTCAAGCTGTTATCTCAAACCACTTATCAGTTCCGTTATTCTGGTCGTTACGTAAAAAAACATCCAAATAAAGGGAAGACTGTTATTAATTTTTGTGCTTGAGTGTTGTTTAGGCAGTTGGTGGTGTAAACACCTGGATTTCCTCTAAATGACGTTGGATAGCACATACTGTAAATAGGTTTCAGGGAGTTCATTTGAATTTTCTGCCCTAAACATTGCTTCCAACGTCATCGGAAAAATGTTAGGCGTGTAAGTCATTTGCTGTAATAAAAAAAAAAAACAAAAAAACTAAATAGAGTACACAAGGAAACAACAAGTGCTTCATCTGGGCTCGTTTCAATTTGGTGTCAACAGATTGGCGAATAACTCATTTAGTTAGTGGTATAAATAAACATCTCATTTAAAGAAAAAACAATATCGTAAGCGTTTTGTCAACTTAAAGGGGCCGTGCAATTATATTTAAGCGTCTAGCTTTTTTGCGGTTTCCACGTCTCTTGGGGTTCGGGCAAGCCAGCGGGCATGGAGAGTGGCTAAATATCTGTGCGTCATATTTTAACCGGAGGACATGGAAACCTCCTCCACCTACGGGGACGACCCGCGGTGCCGAAAGCGCGCGATATCTGAGGTCTTTGGTCCTGGCCTTGCCACTGGTCAGAACCGCTAAAAGCTTCTTTTTCGTCGAAATAGAAAATAGAAGTGGCGCGAATCGTTTCAGTTATTTATGAAAGAAGTTTCTTTTCAGTATTTTAGGTAAGAAAAGAAACAAATGCATTTTACAAAGTACGGAAACAAGAAATGACCCGTCGACATACCCGCCACCATGCGGTGGAAAAGGCGGCGCATACTAGAAAGGGGTAGTGGAATCAGGCACCGACGAGCCGGGAGCGTAAAAAGGTCCCGGATGTACGCGGCGGAGCTGCAGTTGTATACGGGCTCGAGGATCCAACCGGTTCCGAGCGTTCCGAAGGCCTTCGGCGAGCAGGTTTGGCTTGCGGTTCGACCATTTGGCAGTATGGCAGCGCGAAGTGGCTCCTGTTCTGAACTCATCTTTACCCCGTGTTTGCTGTCATTTGTGGCCAATGAGGGGTCATGCTGAATTAGTGTTTAGTCGCGCAGCAAATGCAATGCGAGGCGCCCTGGCCGCCCGCGTCACACAGCCTATCATGTACATGATTTAGTGGCGCCCTCTCGAGCCGTCGACACGGAGTGCGGCAGCCGTGGGCGCTCGCTGAGCTCACTACCCCCCCTCTAGTTCATGGCCACTCAAGCCACGACCAAGAACGTCATGAAGGAGGTTATTTTTTGTTTTTTGTCATTTTAATTAGCGTATAACTTTTAAAATAAAGCGATATTCTAGAAAAGAAAAGTTTCATAAGTTACTAAGTTTAGTGCGCTCAAGTTCAGTGCAAATTAAAAACCAGTCACGAAGTCGCTGCAGGGTCCCTTTATACATGTTAAAGAATTATGACTTCGAGGGAAATGTTGGATTTGGAAATATTTGATTATTTTAAGTGGCCTCACCGGTATGATGTCCAGGTATACGCCCGGTCGTGCGGTTCGAGTTCAAAATTAAAATGCAACTCTACAGAATGAGTCCAAGAGATCGACGGCTGTTTGAACGCACCGCATAAATCTGTTTATGAGCGTATTGAGCTAAGATTTTGCAGAGGTGTCGGAAGGACGTGCATTACAGGTATAAACATTTCACTGAACAAACTTGCCCGAGTAAAAAGTTGGAAATTAAAAGCTTTAAATCTTTACGCACCGTAGCCGTCAGCTAAATAACAAACAGGATTGGCACAACAGCCGACAGATGGCGGCACGTAAGATCGGAGGCGGCTAGCAGGCGGCCACAACCGGCGCTTCACTCGACCTTGGCAATAGACCTTTGCGAAAATCGCGATCTGAGCGCTGCCATCTTTGTCTGCTGCGCTGTGGAACGCCTTCTAAGCGCACGCTGTTGCTCTGCTCTGCGGTATAGTAAATCCTGCGCGTGCGTCCACAGCTCAGCGACTCAGCATTTTTCACCGGGGTGACAAGCGATGCTAAGGTCTATAAGAGACAACGTTTCTGAGCCAGACGCATGCCGGACGCGATATCCTCCTTTTATTTCGCACGAATTGTCATCACGCAATTATTTTATTCTACCAAAAAACAAAACCTCTCAGCCTTTCTATTCGGGTGAAGAAGGTAGACCAGCAAAGCTGTACTATAGTGGAAATGAAGTAATGGCCGTCCGCAAGTCGGCAAGCCAGAGAGGAAAGGCTGGAAAGGTTGCCGCGATCTATGAGCGACGGCGGCAAGCAGACAACCGGCAAAGACAACACTCTGGAGAGCTACCGCCATCTATGAACGACGGCGGCAACCAGAGTGTTTCGTCGATATTTATTTGGTACCGGGCACAATCCTGGGGAACCTAACCTTCAACAGCTCCGCGGTAAAAAAAAAAAGAAAAAGTGAGAACAGCTAAACAGATCTGTTACCTCGTTTTTCATTACTTCGGCAATTATTTCTGAATAGTCTGCTCCGCACTCTGTTTTTTACCGCATCTCTCTTCTTTGCAACTATCGTCTGAGCGGTTTCGGGGTGGAAGTTCTCTTTACTGTACGTTTAGCGCCCAACGAGCTAGTGAAGGTTGCTCTATGGTACGGGGAGTGCCAGAGGCCGAACGAGGTACGCCAACGTTTTCGAGCGGCGATTTGGCGGCGACCTCTTGGCTGGGTGAAACGCATCAGCAAAGAGGGAAACATCAAAAACAAGCCCCCGACAAGAGTGATGTCATCCCAGAAGCCGACGCTGAATATACTCGGTGCCTTCACTACCGACTGCCACCTTTCCATTCGGGGAGTGCTACTGACATATGTTGACTGTTGCGCCAAACCAACAGACACCTTTGGTTTGCAGATACCCGCCGTAGGTAACGGTTTCACTTTTTTCACTTGTAACATTTTTAGTCGGGCAAGTTTGTTTAGTGAAATTCGTATACCCTTTATTCACGTTTGTCGGCCACCTCTATGCAAAATGTCAGCTTGATACGTTTAGAAACCGATTTATGCCGTCCCTTTAAACAGCCATCGATCCCTTTGGCTCACCCTGTTGTTACTGACCTAATGGCAACGGCAGGGAGAAATTTCAGCTGTCCCGCCTGCAGCGCTAGCTTCCTGCCTTCGACAACGCTTCGGCCTCTCGTGAGCCAAGAGCGAGCCCGCGCAGCAAAAGCACGGTCAAAGGCAACGAGCTTAGTCTGGAGGCCGTGCTTTTTTTCTAAGAGACGCCCTACCGTTTATATCTTCTCAGCGACCGTAGTGTTCACAACTCACAGTGCTCTCGTGACGTTCAAGTACTCGTTCGACGTGTTCAGTGCCTTGTTCTCGAGGTGGTCGCTCAAGCCGGCCAGCTGTTTCATCTGTAAGTGAACCTGGCCGGTGCAAAGAGGAAGAGAATTGTAAGTTATGCGGAGTTTTCATCTGCTCTGTACAAGCGGCCGGAAAGTACAGCAATAAAAAAGGGTGGCGCGAATGAATAATCGTAATTAAGATTTGGCATTTTAGAGTTCTGATCGCTTTCTGGGGAAGGTAAAAAAAAAAGAAGAAATACGAATGTAGTGTAATAAAGACCAAAACAAAAAAGGTATTTTATGTTGGATTTTCTTTTTAATCTTGAACGCAATTTTTGTTTACACCGTTTCTTTTTTTGGGGGGGAGGGATATACAAAAAAATGGAACCTCCCGTACGTCTACGTGTATGCGCAGATATGTCACGAAGCTTATTGAAGTCTGAAGATATCGACTCTCTTAGCCAACCCTCGGTTACCACTCCGTGGCTTCTATGCGGAGCGCAAATTCGTCTACTTCTTGCACAGCGGTTGCGATGATATCAGATAGCCCAGCTCTTATTGGCTCATTGAAAAGAAAGAAATAGTGGGTAGACCTTAAGGCGTCTTGCATTGACGTCTACCCACATCCTTCCAAATCAAAGCCAATCAGAGCTCGGCGTCGTTCTGACGTCACCTCAACCCCGTTCAAAAAGCAGACGACTTGCTCTCTGAATACTTCCCAGACGCAGCCGGCGCTACGAACTGATGCGAGCAACGAGACTGCATAAAAAGCGCACCATCAAATTCTTCTTCATGTTTCGGCTTGTGTTCTATCATCGTTGAGCCAATCATGTTCGTGTGGAACCGAAGTAAACACGGACGTATTTTCGCTAACTAGGCTAAAAAGCGAAAGCCAGTATAATTTAAATCGCAATTGAAATCACATTTGTTTTGCCATGATGATTTGAAGCAAATATTTTCCGCACAAAATAATTCCAGAAATGTTTTTTTTATAATTAGCGATCCTGCATCATCAATTTCTTCCTATATGCATTTGTTTTCATTTATATCAAAATATCACCAGACAATAAAAAGTTATAGTAAGCTGAACAAAAGCAAAACGTGGTGCTCTTACGAAAAATTGGAGCCTTCGCGCTTCTACCTTCTACTTCCTTTGCCAGTCATGCACTCTCCTATTATAAGCAAATGGGAACACACAGCAAAAAAATGAAATGAACAGTTTCTTTTTATTAAATATAAAGTGAAGATGCTCCTCTTCTATTGTGGCAGGGTTTATATCAACAATTGGTTCTACATTGAACTGATAAACATGCAGTCATTCTATCTTCCATGTTGTTTTCAGTGATCGGGCGGACTAATCTATCGATCTGTTTTAAATGTTTCAAATGTTGTAATAAAGGTTTTAAAATGCAACTACAAATAATTAATCACAATTTTCATGTCAAAGTGATTTAAATCAAATTAAAAATTACCCAAATCGCACAAAGTTGATTTAAATCAAATACATCTCTTTTGTTTAAAACAAATCATGTTCTTTTTTAGTCTCACGCTAACGAAACTAATGTTGGTTGCTCAGAAGATGAGGAGCAACACAACAGACGCATATATATTTGACTTTGTAGCCTTAGCCTAATCAACAAAATGGCAGGTTTCTTCTTACATAAAATTTCGCAAACTGAAAACGCTATAGTGTTTCCAGCTTTAGAAATTGTATGTCTAAAACTGTGAAATAGCAGACTAAAAAATGTGCGGTGCAGTGTCTGTTAAGGGTTCAACATGTGTTACTTTGTGTGTTTCAAGTGTATTCGTGTACATATATGGATACAGATTGCATATTTGCAACATTACACTTGAAAAGCAGAAAGTAACAGATATGGAACTCTTGACGGACAGGGCACCGAACATTTTCGAGTCTGCTATTTTAATTGAAAAACAAATTAGAGTTTCGCCGATAGGGCCACGTGGTTAAAAAGCTCGCGGTGTAGAACCTAGAGATCGCAGCTTGAATCCACCGCTCCTTCTCTCTGCGTATTTTAAAATGGATAAACATCGTACCGGCGAGCGGTCGTGCAATAACTACCGAGTTAAACACGGCGAACATCAGAGGGTAAGAAACGGGCAGCCCTGGCTAAATTTCACCTTCAACAGTGCAGGCACGTAGCCAGGATTTTGTTTCGGGGGGGGGGGGGGGGGGGCGCCCATGAAAAAATGCTGTATGAGGGGGAGGGGGGAAAGGAGGCCCCAGCGAAATACAAGATTTCGAAGGGGGGCCCGGGCCCCATGCCCCCCCGCCCCCTGGCTATGTGCCTACAACAGTGTTAAACAAATGTCGCCACATTTGGACAGTGTACCAAACACGTGTCTTTTGTTTAAATGTAAAATATAACGCCGCCCATGTTTTCTGTCTACCATTGAAAGTAAATTGCCTATAAATATCATATTCAAGACCCCTGTTTTGGCTATATTCCTTCCAGTATTTAGGCTTTGGTGTGATACTCTAATTCGCCTATTTTTATGCAAATTGCCAACAACAAAAAAATGTTTTTTTTTGGCAAACTAAACTGCGCATTTGCGAACGAATACTACGACCGAATATAGCCTTAGCGGTCCGAATCCAAAAGCCAGTTTCCGAGCACACCGTTCTCTTAGTCAAAATTTAAAGTTCTAAGACTATAAATACTCTAAACAACTTCAAATCACATTCAAAAGTTATATGAGATTTTCAGCAAGCTTGAATAAGAAAATTGCTTCCGACGAAGCTCATAAATGGATGGAGATAAATGGACTCGACCACCAAGAAAGGGCAATGTTCTCGTAATGAAGTGAACCGAATATCGCTTCTAATGTTCGAATCTGACGACGGAAAGGTCTTAAACTGAAGTAGACATATTTCCACGCGAGTGACCCTTCTGGGAGCATGTCTCGGCTGCACAAGTTTGATCACTTGATAGGGCACTTAGCTAGTCAAATATTAGTAGGCAAAATATAGTCCAAAATGGGTCCACGCTTCAGTGTAGTATACACAGGATATGAAATGACTCATCACTGTTTCCAACCTATTGATGGAAGTATGCAAACTTGTCTTCTGTTAAAAACAGTAATACTTTCTCACAATAGCGGATTTCTTCAAACCTAAAGCAACCTACCATGTGCCAATAAGGATCCGTGGAATAATAAAGGTGCTCCTGGTCATTGGAGTATTTGATGTTTTCCTGCAGAAACTTCGAAAGCCTCTCGCAGTACTCAGACTGTCCATCGCAGTAGCGGCTGTACATGTTGTTGTAATGTTTTTCTATGAGGTCGCGCGTGAGGTGTGCCTCCACCGCGCCGGAGGCGTACGCCTGGACGTCATCCGCATACGAAGCGTTCGACTGCAGATCCAGGAAAGCCCAGCTTTAAAGAAAGAACAAAATGAAATATGTTAATTATCGGACCGACACTTTTAAAGAACAGACATAGCAAATATTTCGCTTTCTATTTACCAACACAGCGTTTACCAACAAACCCGCTTTGCCCACAGCAGGTGTGGGCACTGCGCGTGACCAGAAATCAAATTAGGGAGGAGTAAAGCGTTTGGGCGTGCGCAGTACCGACAGAAGCGCCACCGCAGTGGCGTGACGTCAGTGAGTTGAGTTGGTCTACACTTCGTTTCAGCTTAAGACCAGACGCAGCCGACGCTACCAGTTAATGGCACTTGCATGTAATATGGCACCGGAAATGTGATGATGCCGGGTTTGTTTACATCGAGCATGGTCTGGTAGTATGGCGTTATCTCTTGCAATCAAATGAGACACAAAGCCCGCAACCATTTTCCAAAAAAAAAAAAAAATCAGCAGCTCTGTTCCAATCAGTTAAATGAGAAAACTTGCAAAACTCAATGCACTCCAACTCTTAAGTATTTTCAATCACGGTATACTGTGAAAATTCCTGGTCACCTAAAAATTATTCTCCTAAAAGCATAACTTCCCATTCGTTTGCTGATTTTGCAAGCGTCTTATGAAGACGAACCTCGCCCATATTTTGAAACCCCGAAAAACCAGAATATTTTAAAACAATGTAATGCATCATGTAAACTGCAGGGGAAAATCCTTGGGAGAGTTTGAATGTATACTTAGCAAGAAAGTGGATCGTGCCATTATTTAGCAGTAACTAGTGGTCATACCCGCTGAAGCGAATGTCATTCTGGAAGGTTCCCCAGGCGACGGCTCCTTGACCGGGCTTGCCATCATGAATGTGCAGGTCACCTCCAGACGGTCCAAGAGATGCCCACGCATACTGACAGCTAGCGTCTTCGGGGGTCTCCGCTGCCGCTTGCAGCGCCAGAAGAGCAGAAACTGCCAAGGTCACGAACATGTTCCTGAAAGCATGCATATACATATATATATCATTAGTTCAAGACAGTGAACTTACACAATCTCAATTTACATGTTTTCTCATTGCAATGATGTCATCCTTAAAATTACAATTTAGGTTAAAATAATGAGTATCCTGCATGAGCATATCTTGAAGATCGTGTTCTGTGTCTCCAGTTTGTGTTTTCAGACTTTGACCAATCGCCTAATTCTCATTTGGGGAGGCCCTGTTGCGTAGTAGACTTGAAGGAACATAAATATGTGTTTATTATTTACATTTAGCAAGTGAATCTGCTCCTGTAAGTTCTCGTCGTCATTCGATTTTCTTTTTTTTTTTACGATCCTCCTTTTCGCAACCATCTTCTTCTTTGCAGTTCCTTGCAGCCTTTGTTAGTTTGATTCAATCCGTTAAGTCGTTTATGCGCTCAGTTGTCTGTCGCCTCGCTTAAGTGCGGCTGCAACGCCAAGCGCGTACCATACGGTTTTTGTATTTTCACAATTTTTCGTTGAAACTCGTCCCAAGCTAGGTTTTGCTCTTCCCCTGCGCTGCATGCGTTGCCTGTTTTCCTGGTATTTTAAAGTACTCAACACTGCAGGAGTCGCAAAATGAGCCCATTGGTGCAGTCGCTTTGCATTGTTTCTTGGCGACCGGTCATCGCTGACTCCAGGTCCCTCCGTGATCTCAATCTCGGTGAGCACATATTCGAGAAACGGCTGAAAATTCCCTCCGCACTTCATTTTGTTTAAATGTCTTCATATCGATATGCTGTAGTGGCGGACAGTTCACCAGTTTTAGGAGTACCTGAGAGCAGCCCTAGTTCTTCAGGTTGCAACGATGTTGGAAGCTAATGCACACTCACGTCTCCCTCACACAGATAGAATGTTATTTTATCAGTGTGGCCAGAAGGTCTGTTAAATCAACCTCAATTTCAATCGGAAGAGCCTCGATGACACTGTTTCTCAGCATGATCAAGTAGCTCTCTGAGCTGACGCAAAGTTCACGAGGACCACAGATGTGGGTTGCACCTGATTGTAGAGTCTTCCCGGCTCCTTGCTTTCATTCGAGTAGGTTACCTTGGCAAATGTCTGAAGATTTGGTAGATATTCCTGCTGCATCCAAGCGTAGTTTTCAAAATTCTGAGTCACAATTTTAGTTGTTTTGTTATAGCACGCCTCCGGGACCTGGAGACAAGCGATGGAGGCCCTGGTTGGCCCACCAACAGCACCCCACAGTACTGAAACATCCTCCCGCTTGATAACACGCTTAAGTTACTGCGTAGAGGGCTGCCACTCAGTAAGATTGCTTTTAAAGTTTGCAATTGCTGATTTGAAAGCTTGTTACCACCCGGGCTTTTTTTTTTTTACGTGAGGTGATTGCCGTCGTTGATGGTCGCAGCGGTTAACCGAAATTTTGTAGCAGTGTTCAATTTTGGAGTAAACTGAAGGCGTTGGTCGTTTCGTCTATGTACTGGTCTCGATAAACGGTTGGTATCTAGCCTCAAGATTGCCGTCTGCAGTAAAGGGACGAACAACTTGTGTATTCTGGGCTGCGGGAGCAGTTCACCTCCTCTAAATAATAAATTGAGGTTGTAATGCGGTCATTTATCTCACAGCCCCGCAGGTTGTAAAAAACACCAAGCTTACTGTGCCTCCAAACAAAAACAATAAACATATCTGGAAATATGTGGTTCACACCGTCTGTTTTACGCATTGTGACTTTCCGATGTGCATCACGTGGCATTATCCAGAAATCGAAGAAGACGTTGACGTCGGTTTAACATTTTCCGAGCTCGAAACGCAGAATGGGCAGAAGGAAAGCAAAACAGAGGACGTCATGGCCTCCTTTTGGGCTTCATTTATTTTTAGTACGTTCTGAGTTCTTAATAACAAGAGATAATGAATCGTGCCGCTTCCAAGATATACAAAGGATACGAGAAGGCACTAGCGTACATCGGAACAGTCCCACAATTTTCTTCTCCGCGAGGTCTTCTGGGGTCCTCCGGAAAGGTCTATCGGAGCTCCTCAGCGCCGAGCCCGTCGAGCGCGCCAGCAAGGGCTATTGCGCGATCTGGGGAGCGGGTCAATAAAAGGAAAAGACGCCTCTTGTCTAAGGAATGAGTCGGAAGTCTAATTCTCCGGCTCTTTCGAACAGACCGCCAACGAATTGGTGACCTGGATGTTCGACCATCATTGACCGTAGCACAGGCAACTCCGACGACAACCACCAGCGTCCAGCTCCACCTTCCAAACTTCTGGTTGATAAATGTACATGTCTGATTTTCCGAAGTGGAAGCCCAATTTTATACTTGTGGCACATCACCAACCAGATTTCACGCTACCTATCCTGTGGTGCCTGCCCTTCCCCCAGAAGTAGCCAATGACCTGAACGACGTGCTTGGCTTTGCACCATTTTGACAGCGCCTATGCAGAGAGGAAGTCGTCTGTTTCTTGCGCAGAAGTTGCAGTGACGTCAGCACGACGCCGAGCTCTGATTGGCTTTGATTGAAAAGATAGTGAGTAGACCTCAATGCTAGATGCCTTAAGGTCTACCCGCTATTTTTTTTTTCAATCAACCAATGAGAGCTTGGCGTTCTGACATCATCGCGACCCCTGTGCAAAAAGCAGACGAACATGCGGTCCCCATTACCACCCCAAGCGAACGATCCTCACAAGGAAGACGGAGTCGGAGGCACCGCGGCTGCATCAGCTCATGAAAAAATGAAAGACATTTACAACTCCCTGTAACGCCGATTTCGAGCGCAGCTCTTGAGCAGGAAGAGGAGAGGGTACTGAGGGGAGGGTATGCCCCTCCTCCTCATCCGTACCCTCTCCTTCCTTCTCATCTACTCCTCCCGTGCTCCTCGCCTTCTCCCCTCTCCTCCCCACTCCTCCTCCCCTCCTCCCTCCTCCTCCTCCCTTTTCCATCTTCCTCCTCCCTCCTCCTCCTCCATCCTCCAAATCATCCTCCCTCCTCGCATGGTGACGTTTCGGCACGGTGCCTAAACGTCACCGCGGTGCATCATGGGACGTTTCTCAAAATGCACCGCGTGGTTACGCCGACGGCGACGCCAACGCCGCTCAAGCCGGAAACGGGTTCCTAAGAGCTACGCTCTAAAACGAAAGGCCGGGAGGCCGTTGACGTTCCCCAGCTGCTTCACTGCATGCGGCAGCTGCTTGCTGGGTGAGAGCGTCTGACGTGAACAATCCCATTCTACGGGAATTGTCCCTCCAACGCTGATCCGGACACGCATGACCTTCGCCCCAGCTGCGGACATGCCCCTAGACCTCCTCGCGGAGGTCGCCGAATGCATAGCCAAATAGGCAGCGCTAAGTGCGTCAAGCATCGCGGAAACTTCTGACCAGGGTTTCCGGGCGCCGAAGGCTCGGGTGGAGGACCCGAGCCTTCGACGCCCGGAAAACGATCTGACATCAGCCATAGCAGCCCTCAGAACGAAAAACAAGTCGCGTCACCAAAGAAGGCGAAGTTCATCTCGACGTCGCAACCCATCTCGACGTCGCAGCTCATCGCAACAAGCAGGCGGCCCCTGCTGGTACCCCCAGCCATTCGGCAGGAGCGGACGCAAATATGGACAACCATTCCACTGACAGGAAAATGCCCCGGCACGTCAATAGAGGTGGCAACTAACCGAGTCGCAACAGCAAGCCGTCTCGTTTTCTCACTGAACGAATATCAGGTGGCCGCTTCTCGGTTGATACCGGAGCCGAAATGTCCGTCCTCCCTCCAACGCTAACGGAAAGACGACACACAGCCCCAATCCCACCACGTTGCATCAAATGAATCCAACATCCAAACATACGGAATACGCTCAGTGGGATTGCGCCGAGTTTTCCAATGGATATTCGTCATAGCCGACGTCATAGCCCGCGCCTAGGTTATGATCTTCTCTCCCACTTGGTTTGGGCGTCAGCATTCACCTCCGACGCCTGATTGACAACATACAATATCATTGCTGTCAATGGTGCGTTTATGAGCATAACTTCCATCGGCATCCGATACACCCTGGCCACTTACAGTTTTGCTGATGTCCTAAAATCGGACGGCCTGGTTTGGTAAGATTAAGAGGCATATTTTTGTATTGTTGTTATCTGTATCACTATGAAACACGGTAAGCATAAATAGGTATGTGAATGGTACAGTGATATATTTAATAACTCTAATAATAATTGCCTTCACCGGTTTAGAATATGTATATTTCGAAATATGGAACATGTTATTTTCTCAATGTGCAAAGACAAACTAAAAGTCTCTTTAAACAACACACCAATAAACATGTGTTGTAACACTTTCAATTTCAAAATTTAAAAATGAACATTTGTCATAAAAACCAGGTTTATATACGAATAAAGGTACTAACCCATTAAATGCATCAAAAGGTCTATTTATTGGGTAAAAAAAGCGCCAATTTTGATTTACAAGTGTTTAGCTAAACTTTATTGTATTTTACTCACGAACGTAAATCGCCAAGCCAGATATTTGAAATTTGTTCAGGATGAACTAAGTCTCTTCTAGAAACAGATGTTTTATTCTCGGCATGTTAATCATATATCTTGTTTGAGGTATTCTCACAGTAGAATTAAAGTGTAAAATAAATAGCAAAACCCAAAGGATAGAACCTTGTGGTATGCCGAATATTGTTGGTGCGAGTTGTGATTTAAATACATGCAATAGGGCATACTGGAAACGTGAAGAAAACTAGCTGCAAATTATATCTAGTGGGTAGCTTCTGATTTCATACGAAGCTAACTATATTTAGCAAAAGTGTGTGCTTGATAGCGTCAAATGCCTTTCTGAATTTTAATATTCTAGTTTTGTACATACGGTTTTTAATGTATGATATTGTGGTATTTTCAATGCTAATCAAGGTTTACTTGCTTGATTTATTATTTTGAAAACCAAAGGGGTGCTCAGCTATGAACGCATTATTTGCAAGATATGAGTAACAACGTTGAATGGTTATTTTTTGGTACTTCTGAAAAAGTGGCA